GTTGTTTAAAACTCAAGTTACAAATTCAACATTAGGTGGCTAATATTGTAATTAGAAGATAGTTAAATCTTAGTTTTAATAGATATGTCCCTTTAAAGAAGAGATTTCTAACATCCTTCAGTGAATGTCAAGGTATTAGGAAGACATGATTATGGATGTCTGATGTCAGCACAGTGTTAAAAAGAAAAGATATGAAACCTTATTTTTAGATAAGTATGGAGCAGCCTAAATAGAGAGAGGGATGAAGTGAGTGACAGGAACAATCTCACGGATTACTACTTTGGTATGAAGATTCTAGTATTCAGCTAGCTTGCTAAATAAATGGACTAACGAAAAAGAAAGTCAACAGATTAACTTCAGGAATTAAGCCTGTTAATGGATTTTCATGCAGAAATGAATCCACCCATCATGATAGGGAAAGGCTTTCCCAGCTGCAAGATTATGCGTTAAAATGTTTCTACATAAACTGCAGATGGGATGTAGACTTTTTTTTTTCTTTTTAAATGACTGTTCATTGACCTGAGGCAATGCTGTACTATACCCCTTCATTTTGGGCTAATTTATATTTGTACCAGAACAAGTTGTTAGATTTAATCATGAACTGAATATATTTGAATAGAGATTGTTCATCTTCACAGTCTTCTTTCCTTTTTTTCTCTTATTTATAGCTAAATTTCACTGTTCCATCCATAATTTAAGAACATGCAAGGAGGTAATTGGAATTGGAGGTAAATTATATTCTTTTGTGAAAAGTATAATTATCGGAAGTTAGTTAAAAACACCTCAATTCTCTTTAATTTTCATGCATGGAGCAGTTGTTTTGACAGATGGATGGACTTTATTTTTGTAACCGTGCGGGAAAGACTGTGTAACAGAGTCTAATCAGTGCTACATATTTGTAATGTTTGTTTTTGAATCACTGTGCATTTGGCTCCTATATCATTTTCTGGGAGTAGACATTTTCTTTCTAATTTATTTTTCCAGGCTAATATCTCTATGTGTAATTCCTCTGAAATTACACATTTGATCCGAAAGGACTGGAAATCCTAAAAAAATAAGTGCAAATGGTTTGTCACTGAGGATGATGAATCATTGCTCTTCAGGTGTGGCCCTGGGGTTTACTGGTTTATGACTGCCTTTACTTTTACTTCTAGGCTAAGTTAACAATTTATAATGCTGTGGGTCTGGAGTACATTTCAGTAAAATAAGAGGTCAGTATGGTTGCCTGACTCTCAAAAAGCCAAGTTGTTGCTAAACTTGTCTGTGTGTATCAACTTAAATTCCAAAAAGGAGCAAGGTTTGAAAATGAATTCATTTTGAACTGATTACATTCCCTTTATTACGTTGTAAATCCGCCAGTGCTGAGCAAAGCAGTGCAGTAGTCTAATGCCAAAAAGTACATTACATTCTGAGTTTTAAGAATCGTCATGGTTCAAGGAAAGGTCAGAAACACGCTTCTTCTGTCTCCCTAGAGCAGAAATGTGTGAAGTGTGTTTCCTTTTTCTGCCACGCTTCCTTCTTTATAATGGAATGTCCAGGCTGCTTCCAAAGAAAGTGAATATCCTGTTTTGGAACACTCCAAAACCTTGGCAGCAAGAAGCTAGGGAAAGAAGGCAAATGAATGACAGGATCGACACTCTTTTATGTAGGTTTTCTGTTTAAAGAACAAATCCTGACCAACAATGTTTCTATCAAGTTTTGGGTGCCTGTTCTTTTTCTGTCCAGTTCTTTTAATTCATTGTTTCCACTCCATTATTGTTGATGAGTTTCCTTGAAGCTATTTTTGGCCAACTTTGAAAGTATTTAATTAATTTTCTTTGTTTCAGTTCAGTCTTCGCACACTGTAAACCCAGGAAATTTCTCTCCATTTTATTTGCCTCAACCGTCACTTCAGAATAATATTGAACTAGCCCCTGGGCATGGCAACAATACAACCTGCTGCCAACTGGGAGAGTTCAGTGGGGAAATGAAAGGGATCCTTCCAGGCCTAAGGCCAGTAGGGTGGGTCTAGTTGCTTTCTAGCACAGATAGACTCTTATCAGCATACTCCCTGGTGAGAATGGTGTGAAACATGTGCCAGATTTCACAGCCCTGGTTCTGCCATTGATTTTTTTTTTTCTTCAGCTGCTCCATAGAGGAATAGTTGTCAGTGTAGTTCTATTCCATCCTTTTCAAGAACCCTAAGAGTTCTTCAATCATTACTTTTTGCCAATCAGTTACATAATCTATAAGAGATAAGAACCAACAAATTCTATGATTTTAGAATTCATAACGATTACAGAGGTGACATGGGCCATTTGTGTTCACAAATATCTGTGCTTGGACGAAATTTCCTCCCTTTTATTTTTTATTGTGAAGAATGAGTCTATTCTATTTCTCGGATGCACTTAGGTACTACTAATGGGATTAGAGAACTTGGTTTTGTATTCAGAATTGCATGAAACTTTAAAGACATGGCAGAGGAACTGAAATCCTGTTCTTTTCTAAAATGAGCAAGACATCCATCTGGGACTACCACTATTATTTATTAGAATATTCATTTTCTTACCAATATATACATAGCCAATTTTTTGGTTTCAGCATATGGTGATGGAGCTGGTCATTTATAATCTTGAATATTGAGCCACAATCAGGGATGGCTATATCTTTATGTAAAAGCAGAGTGTGTGGCCACATACATGTTTCCAAGAAAGGGATACAATAAAGCATTTTCCTGAAAATGAGTTGTTCGCAAATTGCTGCATTTTTTTAAAAATACTGAAAAATCCTTTGGGTAAGACTCATGAATGCTTCATTTGTAAATGAGTTTATCAGCTGTTTCCCTCTCCACAACCTTGTTCCACTGCCCAAGCATTCATGCCCTATTCTCTTGGGGAAAGATGAGAACTGTTACAGAACTGGGAGTTTGTTGCTAAGAGTCTTGGAAGTTGTTATATCTGCTTCACAGTTTTGCCTAAGATGTACTATGTTCAAAGTGAAACATGGCTGAGATCCATGTACCCTTTATGCTAGGAAATGTTTCTTCATAGCAACTTGAAAAATCCGTTGGTTTCAGAGCTTAATTTTATGTTTTAATGTATTACCAGACAAAAGTAAAATTCAGGATCAAAGTAGCAAAAACAGTGGGAGAAATTAGATGTTTATTGTAGTTACTCTCCTAAACTACTCAGCCTATGTTAAGAAAGCATGAGGAGTCCTAACTTGAAAGTTATATATTTTACTTTAGATAGCTCTAATTCAGTTTTAGGACAATATATTTATAAGACATCCTTAGGTTTCATCCTAGAAAAATTTGTGCTGATGGGAAGCAATTATTGGAATTTAAATATCAATTATTCTGTTCATTTGGTTGTCTGCCCCTGTGTCTTTTATGGAGACAATAGAGTTAAGACCAAATCATTAGCTGCAAGCGCAGAATACAGATGTCATGTGGAAATGTACTTAAGTTATTGTAACACCTCAGTTATAAATTCCCACTGACTACACAAGGCCCAGTGCATTCTGAGCTCTCACTTTGTAAGTCTCATGTCACAGAGAGTGACTTTTGGAGTGTTCCAGTGCTAGGACCAACCCAGTCTCTATAATGCTTCCCAACTTGTTTGTACTATAGTCTGCTTTTGCTCTTTGCCTGCACTTCTAGTTACATATTTGGGTCTTAATTCCAAATCTTTATAGGCAAAAACGCAAAACTAATTAAGAAAGTGTATGATCAATAACAGAGTACTTTTTAGTGCCGTTTTATCACATATGCATTTGTATATTTTTAAATGGATGTTATATATTCTATGATGAACTCATATTTTTCTAAAATATTCAATTTCTAGGATTTATGACTTGATAGTAGACCATAACATTTTTAAGCTATTTTTGAGTTTGAGTTTTCTTTTTACAGTATTGATATAGTTCATCTATTTAAAATATTTTGTTAAAATTGAGTCTTTCTTTCTCTGAACTGTTGGGACAATGAAATTATTCAACTTATATTATGAATATCTGAGATTTCCCTCAAATCTTTCCTCAACAGGGACAAAAGGCTAATATTGCTGTTTGCTCATAGAAAAGTATTTTCTTCCATAGGATTTACAGATAGAATACAATATATAGAAAGACTCTAAATAGTTTTATCCATTTTATTTCTTATCTGATATCTTATTCAAAAAATAACTTTCCAGGAATGTCTAAACTTCTATAAATAATAATAAAACATGACTAGAATTTACTCATCACTAATTGTCCCCTCCCTCTCCCCAGGGAAATCCATGACTCATTAGGCAGGGAGTTGCATGTATGGGTTCAGGATTCCATGAACTTTCTGAAAGTACTTTGTAATTATACCTGCTCTACAAAACACCCTTTAGCCTATAGATACTCCAAACTCTAACATCTTTATCTCACCTTAAATATACCCAAATTGTCTTTGAGGCTGAAGTGACATTTGCAGGAGAAAGTGGCTCTAACTTCTTAGGGTCTATAGAGCTCATTAGCAAGCAGCACTTCTGAAGTTCAAAGTCGACTGCCCATCATGATGGGTTACTATTGATATTAGACTTCACGTTTAAAAGAAGTGCATATTATCTTTACTTTCCTTTTCCTTTTCAAATTAAATTCGAAGTTGATTTTTGAAAAAAATTACCTTTGTATTATTTACCTAATTTATTGATTAATCAGATCATTTTGTTTGCTTTATTTCTAGAAAATGTTATTTTGATTGTAGATTAGTTATCTACATTTATTCTACTTTTGAATAAATAAATTACAAATGTTTTTATTAAAAGAGTTAGTACAAGAATATATTTTATTTAGCGACACTCCCTACCCCCACAAGACTAAGAACTTAAATGTGTTCAGTTCATATAAAAATATGAGCAAACAATAGTATAATAAACCCTACTAATGCCATGAAAAGGACACAAAAAACTGTTCAATCATACTCAGCACCCTAGAGGATATCTCAGGCATGCTGCCTGCTAGAACTCACTGCTTTTCCTTTTGTCTTACAGAAAGAATGTGCGAATTTCATCAAGGTGCTTAAAGCTTATAATCAGACTCACTTGTACGCCTGTGGAACGGGGGCTTTTCATCCGATTTGCACCTACATTGAAATTGGACATCATCCTGAGGTAAAGCTGGCTTTTAAAAATTAGTGTTTGTCCATGACCCCTTCCTATTCAAATGCTTCATTACTGATTTCTTCAGCTCATTTAACTTCTGGTTCATATTCAGTGAGACCTACTTCAAATGCAGATGCTGTTATTCATTTTAATCTGTGAATGCAAAAACAATGAGACCATCACTCAAGGCTAACTATGGAACAGGAGGAAGGAAGGAAGAAAGCACTTGCTTTCGCCCTGGATTACAGAGTCAAATCCATTTTGCATGTGTGGCAGATGTCAGCCGGCTGAGTGCACACTGTTTTCTCCTTCATTTTTTTATTGCCAGCTTTCCCCTCCATTTCCATCCTCAGTCAGAAGTGTCTGCCACCCCAGTTATTTTCTCCTGCCCAGGGATTAGAAAAGAATGCCATACTTGTGCACAAGGATCTGCTCTCATGTTTGACCTCCATTATTTTCATACGTGTTCTAGCTCAGCTAAGTGATATTTTCATATTGTTGGCTATTATATTGGTGATATGGAAAAAAATCTTTCTTTAATATGTTTATGATTCCTAAAAGATGTTTTCGTGAGAAAATTTGGTGAGGAGATTAAAATGAGGTAAATTTAAGTAAAAATTAAAATGAGGGGAATATTTAAAGGAAAAGTTACTACTATTGAAAGTAGTTTCATGAATTGGGCTTACCAATATCCTTCAATTATAAGCCCCTTTATAACTTCTGGCTCAAAATCCTAAGAATAAACGCATTTATGCAGTGAGAAAATCATTTGTGACAAGAGTTTTCTTCCAAATTGGCATTCAGAAATACTTAACAAATAAAGGATTTGTTCCCAGGATATTTCTGGAACCCTAAAGATAAAATATAATTTACATGTTAGCCACTTCTTTATAACTTAAACTCCAGGATCTCCAAAATTTTTTTTAAATGTCCTAAAGTGATACAAATGTGTTCTTTCAACCCAAAGACTTAGAGATCAAAACAGTGTTGTAACGTGTGTTGTTGTTTTTTTAATAAGACACCTTAGAGACTATGTGGTTTCTAGACTATGTACAATTATTATTACCTTCCTGTTGAGCCTGAGAAGATTAAACACTTTCCGCAGCTAAAACCAGTTTAGGCAATTGCCCTCTATTTCCCCACCACATCCTTCCTCCTCTTCCTCACAGGCATGTATACTGTACTTGCAACATACCTAAGAGGTTTTTTTTTTTTAATATATTTTTATTGATCTCAGAGAAAAAGGGAGAAGAGAGAGAGATAGAAACATCAATGATGAGAGAGAATCATTGACCGGCTGCCTCCTGCATGCTCCCCACTGGGGATTGAGTCAGCAACCATATGCCCTGACCGGGAATTGAACTGTGACCTCCTGGTTCATAGATCAATGCTCAACCACTGAGCCATACTGGCCGGGACATAGCCAAGAGTTTTAAGTAAAAAGTTAACTTTAAGGAAAGGCAGTTTTACTTAAATTGCTTGTTTCATATTGGTGAAATCAAGAATCATTTCCTGCACATAGTACTGGAGACTTGGTACACTCTCCTTCTTTGCCTACTTAGCCATTTCCTCTCATCAGGGGCCCTAGAAAACGGACTTGAGTGATTGCTCCACTTTTTTATACTCTGGAGATAGCTCTAGAGTATTCCCTACTATTATATTGTTCTTTGTGCATCTGTATGCCAGGCATGGTGCTGTCAGAGCAATGGAGTCAGGAGAGCTGCGCTTCAATCACAGGTTAGATGGTGTCACATCTGGCTTTGATCTTGTTCTACAATGTCCTAGCTGTGGAACATTGGAAAATTACTTAACCTCTCTGAGACTCTGTCTCACAATGTGTAAAACAAAACTAAACAAATCCTCTTCGACCCTCAGTGTTCATACATTTTAAGTGAGAGTTTGACTACTTAACCTCCAACTGCCTTCCAACCCTCCTAGCAACCCATTGACATTTTTGCTATAGAAACTCAAGGAGTTCTAATCCCATCATTGTTAAAAGCATGCCCTCTGACCTCAGACTGCAGGACTTTTGTCCAATCTCAATTCAATACTAGATGCTTGAAATAGAGCATGCTACTTATTTTTTCTGTCTCTGTTTCTAACCTAGAAAGTGATAGAGTTTTTATGAGAGTTTAATAGGTAGTAGGTGCTGAAAATATAAGTTACCATTTTGAAAATATATATTTGCATCTCAGGGCTGAAAGCCATTGCTCTCTTTCATGTTCGTATTTAAGTGTCACTTTGCCTCTTAAATGTACTTCACTTCATCAGAGGATGAAAAACACGGCACTGAGCTCTCATTGTTGCCAGGTGATTCTGCACTTGTCTCATTTTTCTACATTTTTAAATTTGAAGCTTAGATGACATTGATGACCTTAAATTAAAATACTACATATTGTTCCCCTATTTTTATCATTTTCCAAAAAAAATGTCCATTTTGTTTTATTTTTGAAGTTGCTATTTAGTAGAGTTCACAGCATATTCCTTCTCAACTCATCAATTAATTATTCATTGCTGACTTACGGGTAGAGGGGGAATGGAAAGGTACAGGTTCTGGAGACAGGCCATTTACTCAGGCAAATGAGGCCATTTCTTTGACTGAAAACAATAAATAAAGATTCCATTAAATCTCCTTTGATGTGGAATATTGGGGTGCAAGGATTTTTCTGAAATTCTGAGGCTCAGAACCTTTAAGAGAGGTCTTCTCTGAGAAGCTCCACTGAGCTTCATTTCTATGGCAACTGTATATTGAGAAATACTGTTCCGGACTGTTTAGGAAGTCAGTGAAAAGATGATTATGCAATTACCTAGGGGATTTGGAGCTGTCTAGACAGTCTATCTAGGAAATTCTGGAAAAGAAATTATAAAGATAGTTTGACTAGATGACATGAAATTTAATTTTCAGTGCTTAAGCTTCCTTAAGAGAGAATCTGTTTTAAATTGATCTATACTGATACTGAGAACACTGCCCTTGGATTTACACAGTTATGCTATTTGGGGAGTTTGATAACAGAGACAATGTGTGCTTCATACGGTTAGGAAAAGAATGAGGGTAATGGAAAGATTGGAAGAGAAAGGAACAAAATAGCAGTCAGACCAAGAGCAGAATTTTCAGATTAGAGTTCATAAACTTTCATGATGTTTGCATTTAGTACCTTTATTTACAAGGATGGTTTTTCAGATAAAAACATGACACATCTTTGTCCTAGAGTCTAGTTTAGAAGTGATATGTATACTTTGCTGTTACCTGCCCTACACTACAGAAAGTAAGTAAATAGTTTCATTTATACTCTGTCCAGCCCTTACATATTACAAGTAATTGTATCATACAAAATAATGACATTTTTGTTTTTTGCTTTTAGCATGGATTTTATGGACACTTTACTTTCATTTTTTCTTTGCAGTGTTCTTCCTTTAAAATAACTCATTGTCTTACATGAGTTCCCAGGGTTATTGAAACCTGTTGTTAGAAAATGACATGATGGGCTTACTAATTCAGATGGCCAATGGCCACCAAAATAAAGGCATCAATTTTGAAGTAAATAAAGCTTCTATTTATCACTTAAGAGCTTCAGATCTTGTTGGAGGAAATTAACAATTCCTTTTAAAAATGGCAAACAGTTTGCAAAATAGCCTCCTCATTTACTCCCTAGTTAAATAGATTTTATTTTATTCTCCTGGCATTTTAAGAGCAATATTTATACTTTTGAATATTGTATTTCAAAACTTACTTTACTGTCTAGTGAATGCCTTCTGACCACACACAGTATGTCATTGATTGCTGTATTAAAGAGATTTTCTGTTTCCTGTAGTACCTTTGGGAATTGATAGACATATTAATTAACTCCAGTCCTATAAGATGTGTGTCAATCCATTCTTGGGTATCTGCCAATAGTCGTAGACACTGCAGATAACTGCCGGTGAGGACACATACTTCATACACACGTATGTGTTTATCATAAAAATGCATGCAGAGTCCATGGAAGGAATGATTCAGAGCTAGAGTACAGATGAGTTTTATGTTTAAGCTGTTAGCATCCATGCCACTCAAGTGAAAAATGTTAGTCATCCTTAAGAGACAGAATATTCCCAAATGGCTTATGGTATATGTTATTTCCCCTTCAAACTTACATCTGTTAAGAAATTGTACGTGTATAGCTTTTCAGAGAAGTCTCTGGATGTTTTCTCAAATTCCAAATGAGCCTCTTTTATGGTCCTCATGACCTAAGTGCCATTTAAGTCAACACTTGTCTTTCTCTGACTGGCTTATTTCACTTAGCATTAAACTCTTCAGGTCCTTCCTTGCTGTATCAAAGGGTAAGGTCCTTATTTCTGACAATAAGAAAAGAAATCACTATTGTTCTGGGATATTGAGAAGGTAAATGTGATGTCACAGCTTTGTTTGTATCTAACTCTGGACTGTCTGCTTCGGATTCATGCATTTCTAATGAAAGCACTTACACTTTTCATGTGGGAAGGACCTATCCTTATAAATCTTGAACAGTCTCACTGCGAAAGCCAACATATGCCATTATAGAAAGCCATGAAGATATATCATTGTGTAAGTTGCTAAGATGTGTTTTGACTGCACCAACTATAAATAAAAGAGAAAGTACATGTAGGGAATAAAAAGAGAGATCAAGGGGTGCAGTGGAGAGCAATCAGGGTTGTCAGTTGCAGGCTTATAGAGGTAAGACTGGACCTCAGCATTGTATGAGGAGTCCATTTGGATAGGATGAGATCTGAGGAAGTAGAAATAGCAAAGATTGGTGATGAGAATCAGTGTGACATAATGAAAATAGCACTAAGGTGAAAAGAAAAGATACAGTGATAAAAGAGGTTTTATCAAATAGATTTGAGAGAACACTAGGGCATAATGGAGGCATTTATAACAAGGGCTCTTTAGATTTTTAGCTATAATTCTCCTTAATTGTGACAATCGATGCCCAAGTCATATTGAAAATAATTTGTATTCAGATGAATGATTCAATAGAGATAAAATTGACTAG